TCCTGCTTGTTCTCTGTTGAATTATCCTTTTGTGATAAGTCAACGTGCAGTATGTTGCACTGAACTTCCGCTTCCTGAATTACCTTTTTATTATTTTCTAATGCTTCTTATTCGGTTACCCAACCTGTGGGAGGAGGCATTATTCTTGGATGTGATCCATACTTTTCAGAGCGAGGCATTATTCGTCCCGTACAGCACGTAATAATCGAAAGAACGCCCAGATAATTTTCCCAACAAGTCCACTTCACAACTCTCTCTCGATGTAGTTGCTTCAACAGAGTATTGTGCGATACTCCTCTCTTTCTTCTTTCTGCTTCCAGATCAATTTCCTCTTCGATGTCCGTCATACCATCATCCTCTTCACCATTGTAGGCCCCTCTAGAAGTTTGGCCTTCTTCACATTCTAGCATACATGCTTCTTCCTCGTTATCTTCCCTCTTTTCTTCTTCTTTCTCTTTGTTCTTGAACTCATTGGCTAGTAAATAGTTGTTAGCCATGACAAGAGGTAACGTACCGAACTGAATAGTAAGGGGCTGATCTGGATCTTCTCTATCCCTTCTGCCTTGCTCAAACTTCGATCTCTCAGAAGAATTCTCTGGCAATTCTTCCATCGATCCACCTGTACCAGTCTCCTCACTGTCTTCGAGAACATTTCGACTGACCACCCTCGAGTAGTTTAGGCACCTTAGGATGTGGTACTCCCTGTTGTTGCCTCATCATTCGTCCATAATTCTATTAAAAACGCCTTTGTTGGGTTCTAGTCATCTCGTTGAAGGGTATCACCCTTCCTGCATTATATTGGAACGAATGTCATACATTTAGTTAGTGAGGTTGTGGCCTGAATGTTCTCCCATTATTTATTGACCTGAACTATCTCTCAAAAGGCGGTCCTCTATAGAATGATGTACCTCGCCCTCTACCAGGCTGAGCGTTTGGAAAAAACTAGGGTGATGGTGATGCTGTCATATCCCTGGTTTCTCTGCATTTGCATTCACTTCTCTTTTACATTTTGACACAGGACGTCTTCATCCTTTTTAGGCTCCTTCCATTTGATACGTTCAAAGACACTGGGGTGTGTCCCAGGGTCCTTTTCTCTGTCATCTATAACCAGCTTGAATTTTGGCAACTTATTTTCGAAACCAGTTGTCACCATGTTCACCCCAAGTGGCTGTGGAAAAGGGTTTCATCCACTGCCATCTTCTTCTTATCCTTGAACATAATTCGTCCTGATTCAATGGCGTCCTGTAATACATGGCGAAAAACCAAACAGTTGTTAGTCAAATGCGATCATGCATTATGCCACTTACAATATTTTTTACCCTTGATTTGTTCAGGGCTTGGCAATTTATATTTATCGCTCAGTTTTATCTACTTATCCTTATAAAGTTTATCAAATATAAGGTTAGCTTTGGTTACATCGAATGAGAACGTTCTAGCCTTTTTGTTTTCATCTTTTATAGGCTCATCCTTACCTGACGATCTAGGTTTAACCATTATAGGACAAGTATACGCGTCTCCTTTGATTAATTCGATCAAACACATTTCGATTTGATCGTAAAACTCGTCATTAATGGTATGAACATCAAAATTTGAGTTTCTATGATAAGTCCTCTTGCTAGAATTTTTTATTTGCTCTTCTTCTCTTATTAATCGTTCATACCTAATCACATTTGCGCTCAATTGGAAAAGATTAGGAAATTCCCTGTCTTGGAATTTCTTTTTCAAATCAAAGTTTAGACAACTTTGAGCGATTTTGACAAACTCTTTTTCAGGCAAAGGTCTAAAACATTTACTTCTTGCTGTCTTGAACCTTTGAAGGAAACCTTCTGCCCATTCGTTTGGCATTTGACGTAGATTCGTCAAATCGACCAAAGTAATTTCGGACTCAGTCTTATAAAACTGAACATTGAACAATTACTCCAATTGTTGTCATGTTTGAATAGAGTTCACTGGCAAATTGATGAACCAAGATAAAGCTACTCCTATTAATGAACTAGGGAACAACCTCATTTTATGGTAGTCGGTTACTTCACCACTTTGTAGTGTAAATCGCCCTATGTGTTCTAGAGTAGACACCTCTCTTAAACCAGTAAATAATGAGAATTCTAGCACTTTATACCCTCTAGGCCATGGATATGCTTGGTCTACCCAATCAGGGTATGATTTTGTGTAAGTCGGCCTAATGACAAGACGTACCTCAAAAGCCATTTGATCCTGTACTATTTCCATAATTTGATTTCTCAACATGACGTTGAGGTCATATGGAATTCCTACAGGTTGGTTGGTCGGTTGATTTGCCTGAGGCCTGATGTTTGGTCCTTGGTAGGCAACAAAGTTGTTACGATTTGGGTCATTGTTACGATTAGCCTGAATATTTATTCCATCATTGACATGTGAGGTATTCTGTCCAATATTTAGGATATTATCTCTTATATTTAGGTTACCCCCCAAGTTAAATGTATCATTACCACTATTCTAATTTGGCATTACACTATCCCCTGGTTTGAAGTTGGTGGACCAAAAGGTGGTTCTATCCCCTGATTTGGACTTAGGACTGGGGAATTATGTCCCACGATTGTCCTAATTTGAAAGTGATTTGCAACTGGCTGATAAATTTGGCTTACTAACTTATTCATTATTTCGTTTAAAGTATTCAGTTGTTTGGCCATGTTGTCATAATGTGCATTCTCATTCTGGGTAAATCTTTCCATATTATGAACATTTCGTAGATTTACCTTTTTAACGACATCCTGTGTGAGTTCTCCAAGAAATACACGCATGGTTCGAGGACTCAACTCTGTCATTGGTTCGTAACGACTGTGACTGCTCTAACTCTGTCCCTTTGTTCGTAGAGAGCTTTGCTGCTCCTCATATCGCTCGATCACAAACTTGACTCCTCCCTGACTTGCTGCTTCCTTATCAGATTTGTGAGGCATATTGTTTCACCTTTTGTATCTTCAACACCAAACACCAAGGTCCCATTGGGAGTGCTAAATTGTTTCACGCGGGTAGTCGCTAACAATTAAAAAGGAATCAGACGATTGTGTAAAGAACAGACCTCTTGAGACAAAATCCCAAAAAGGGGTATTTTATTGACGATGATTTACAATTAAATTAAATAGAATGCCTCCAAGCGGCGCAAGCACACGGGTACTAAAAGAAGTGTTTAAGTTTAAATTAAGAAATTGAAATTACATATTCTCTGTTTGAGAGTATTTAATTGGGGTGCTTTTCTCTATGTCTTCTCTTCCTTTTATATTCCTTTGATGGTTTCTTCGTGACAAACAGCTTGGAAACTGCTTGATTGTTGTATAACTACCCACTTTCTTTATGGTGGCTAACTTGTCGTGGAACTGCCGTCTCTAACTGTTGCCATTACTCCTCGTCGTTCAATCACCTTCAACTGGGCTCCTCGAATCGTGGAATGTGATAAGACCACTCAATAACTGCTTCAATAACTGCTATTTTTGGATAACCATAATGTTTTATGCTTGCTAAGATCCTAGGCAATTCGAAAGTTTGGGCGAGAACGGGGTCATCGCTATGGGCGATCGTAAGGTACTCCATTCGCTCAGATTTTGGACGTCTTGCAAGTTTTGGGCGATGATGTTACCGTGTTTGTGGGCTTCCACTGCATTCATCAATAATCCTGTTTGGATCTTTATCCTGGATTCCCCAATTAGGCTTCACTTTTTGGGCTATTTGATTTGGGCTGCACTTTTAGTGTATCAACAGTAACACCCCAGTGACAAGTAGCAAAATTCAAATACCATTGTAGAATCTTCACAAAACCGAATCAATATGTCATCATGAACATGTAAGAATAAAAAATCATTTCCCAAACCATAGAGGTAAAATTTTTTATGGTGGGGTAAAACATCTACTATTTCTCGGTAAACAAAAAATATCAACTTGAACTTCATCCCTGCTGCACAATAATGATGTCCTTCAGCCCCACAGGGCACATCCGAGTTGGTGGAACAATCACTATGGCGAGCTTGCAACCTCAGCGTGGAGAGTTCGATTCTTAATCAACGCAGTAAGGAGGATTCTCTTGGGGCCAGGATTATAAACCAAGTGGGAACCTGGGAGCCAACAAGGGCATAACCTGCGATTTACCTCTTCGAGTCATTGAGGGGCCGGTGGCTAGAGGTTCAGGATTTAGTCTGGCGAAACTAGGATACCTGGGTTTCAAAAAAAAAAAAATGATGTCCTTCAACTCTTTCTCCTTCCTAATGCTCCATGTTACAAGATCGAAGTTAGTTTCGTGACCTTCAATAACCTTCTCGCAAATATGCTTCTATAGTTGAGTGCCCAAGTGTGATGTAGCAATTTTTTTATCGAATGTATCTGCCATCACGTTGATCTTCTGCTGGATAATATACTCCCAGCATGCGATTCTTGGCAGAATATATGAGGTAATACCTAGAATTTGGATTATGAAGATAGTTATGAGTGTGATGGAATGGTAAAATTCTTCAGGACAACGTTTATTCTTGATTTTGGTTCAAAGAGGAAGGATGCGATTTGGTGATTTTTTTGGGAAAGATAACAGGATTGTTGGGGCGTGTTTGGTGGAGAGATTGAAGCCAACTAAAATATTAATTGATGAGAGGTGTGATTTTGCATTTCTTATTCTTACAACAAAAAGTACAGTACTTTTGGCTTTAAAAAATTTTGATAGTATAATTTGAATATTTTATAAAAACAATGTGAGTGGTGTAATTTCCACTACATCTTTCGGCATTATTCACCAACAGATTCTGGGTTTCCTGACATCTTGTGGCTACTTGTATAAGATGTGAATTTCCAAATTGATGCGATTCTTCACCTTTTAACCAAAAATTCAGCAAACTACTCAAGGGAAAAAAAACATATCTCCATTTCTCAAACTTTTTTGGGGTTATAGGGTTAGAATTTCTATTTATTCCTGTGAAAAAGAAAAGAAAAGAAAAGAGAAGAAAGAAAGAAAGAAAGAAAGAAACGGAAAAAAAGAAAAATGAGGTAAAAGCTGCAATATTTTCCTGTATGGCATTCTGTAATTTTAAATAGACATCAAACGATTCCAATGTTCAGACATATACTGGAACATTACACAAACATTGGAATGGAAATGATGGAAACGAACAGGTACTCAGAAAGGAACCATTACATCACTTGGTAGTAGACAACACAGAAAGAACAACTGATCACAAGAAATACTTGTGGCATATTATGTAACAAGTACTGATCAGTACTACTTAGCAAACATGTCGCTGACGTTTTAACCCTCATAGTGCTCTTCATCGCCCTCCTCCTCATAGTCTTCTTCTTCCTCTGCAGTGGCATCCTGGTATTGCTGGTACTCTGCTACCAGATCATTCATATTACTCTCAGCTTCGGTGAACTCCATTTCATCCATCCCTTCTCCAGTGTACCAGTGCAAGAAGGCCTTGCGTCGAAACATGGCCGTAAACTGCTCGCTCACTCTCCTGAACATTTCTTGAATCGAAGTTGAATTACCTATAAAAGTGGATGCCATTTTCAGGCCAGTTGGAGGGATGTCACAAACACTAGACTTGACATTGTTTGGAATCCATTCAACGAAGTATGATGAGTTCTTGTTCTGCACGTTAAGCATCTGTTCGTCGACCTCTTTGGTGCTCATTTTCCCTCTGAACATGGCAGAGGCTGTCAGATAACGACCATGGCGTGGGTCAGCAGCACACATCATGTTCTTCGAGTCCCACATTTGTTGAGTTAGCTCCGGGACAGTGAGAGAGATGTAGTGCTGTGATCCACGAGAGGTGAGTGGCGCAAATCCAACCATGAAGAAGTGAAGACGTGGGAAAGGTATCAAGTTCACAGCCAGCTTCCTGAGGTCTGAGTTCAGCTGGCCGGGAAATCTCAAGCAACAGGTTACCCCACTCATAGTTGCAGAGATCAGATGGTTCAAATCACCAACTACAACCACGGAAATTACAAACACAATAAACACTAACACAAACTAAAAACTTATGATGACACATATGGTTGAAAGGATCGCTAAGTACTGGAGAGTGTTAAGTAAGAAAACAGCTGAAATCTTTTCTATGATACTATTTCCAGTCCTATTTGGTAGTGCTGACCAAACATGCACTTAATTTTCTTAATTCTAAAAGTTATAATGTCGGTACTCACAGCTTGGATTACTGAGCTTCAAGGTCCTGAAACAGATGTCATAGAGTGCTTCATTGTCAAGGACCATACATTCATCTGCATTTTCCACCAACTGGTGCACTGAAAGTGTAGCGTTATAGGGTTCTACAACAGTGTCCGAGACCTTTGGTGATGGAAAAACAGAGAAAGTGAGCATCATTCTGTCTGGGTATTCCTCTCTTATCTTTGAGATCAAGAGGGTACCCATGCCAGAACCTGTCCCTCCTCCAAGCGAGTGACATACTTGAAATCCTGTCAACATAAAACCATTTAGAGAAAGCATAGCAGACATAATTTGCATTGATTAGTTTTCATTGACCAGCTCCCATGAAGAGCAGTACTTTTGCAAAAGCGGGCATTGACTGTTGCCAAAATAAAATATTAATCTAAGGATTCTTTATCAAAAAGGAATACTGACTGAAAGCATAGAAAACAAGAAACCAGTGTGTCCCAGACTCTGAAAAAAATAATAATAATAATAATAATTGGCCAAGCTTCATTTTGATAACAAAGAAAGCACCGTGGAATTGCATAGTTCCATGACTAAAATCTCACCAACTGCAGCCCCAAGTCCAAACAAAAATATTAAGATTAAGAATATAGACACTACTTATGATTCAAAAAAACTTTCTACCATCAATTTACAGCAAAATAAAAGTCAATAACTGAATTTCTTGTTGACATACTAAAAGTGCAGTCCAAATCAAATAGCCCAAAGAGTGAAATCCAATTGGAGAATCCAGGATAAAGATCCAAACAGGATTATTGATGAATGCGGTGGAAGCCCACGAACACGTTAACATCATCGCCCAAGCTTGCAAAACGCCCAGAATCTGAACGAATGGAGTACCTTACGGTCGCCCAGAGCGATGACCCCGTTCTCGCCCAAACCTTCGAATCGCCCAGAATCTTAGCAAGCATAAAATATTATGGTTATCTAGAATAGCAATTATTGAAGCAGTTATTCTTATCACATTCCACGATTCAAGGAACCCAATTGAAAGCGGTTGAACGACAAAAAGTAATGACAACAGTTAGAGACGGCAGTTCCACTATAAGTTAGCCACCATAAAAAAAGTGGGTGGTTATACAGCAATCAAGCAGTTTTCAAGCGGTTTGTCACGAAGAAATTATCAAGGGAATATAAAAGGAAGAGAAGACATAGAGAAAAAGACCCCGAATCAAACACTCTCAAGAAGAGAATATGTAATTTTAATTTCTTAACTTAAATTTAAACACTTCTTTTAGTACTCGTGTGTTTGTACCCCTTTGAGGCATTCTGTTTATTTCCAATTGTAAATCATCGCCAATAAAACACCCTTTTTTGGGATTTCGTCTCAAGAGGTCTGTTCCTTACACAATCGTCTTGTCCTTTTTTTAATTGTTAGCGACTACCTGCGCGAAACACTTCTATACGAGCCTTTACTAATTTAATTCAGCTGATAAACTCAAATGACCTCAAAAACCCTCTCACAGTGTTCTCTTGTAGTTGAGTAGTATATATTAGTGATTTACTAGCATCTCAAGTAATGCTTGATCTTTCAAAAGAAAAAGAAAAAGAATAATTCTATCTAAAGCCCGTCTAGGTGGAAGTGGCGGCCCACCTTTAATTGTCCTACAAATCAAAATGCATCCCAATTTGATTGGACAATAAGGCGGGCTCTCACTGGTGCTAGATAGCATTACTTAAAAAAATGTGGTGAAATGTAAGTGAAAAACATACATAAGGGTGGGTGTTATGGTGTGACTGACTAGGGACATTAAATTCCTAATTACAGGTGGAAAATATGTCCTACATTGGGCTTCTTGTCAGGCCTGAAATGGCCTACATTTAAATTGTGTTGGACTAGACCTATCACTTAAAAAATTGCAATACCAAGCATGGCCCATGGGGCCAGCCCATGTAAGTTGAGTCAGGCGACTTGACATGGATATTATTACTATTAAAAATTTCGAAGAAAAATCTAAATACGTGTCCCCACGTCCAACAACAACAGCCAAATATTTATTCCCCGAAAAAAATCAAGCCCATCCCCATGCTGGGCCAGGACAGATAACACCTCTAAACAAGTAATTCATCGTCATTTGGCATGGGTAAAGAAACTGTCGGTGCTACAGAACGGCTGCATTAATACTAGGGGCGTAGGGCGGGGGGGCAGTGCCGAAAGCCCATTACCTTTTTTTTTTTTTTTTTTTTTTTTTTTTTGGGGTTTTTGTT